GCAGGAGAGAGGGCGTACGCCGGCGAGTCAGTGGGGAGGCCGAGAAGGCGGGCAAGAGGAGCGAAAGGGGGCGCACCTGGCGCGACAGGGCCCGCCTTGGGCTTGAACGACCACTTGGGCTTGTCGGGCTTGACGTCGTCGTTGTCCTTGGGCTCGGCCTTGGGCTTCTTGACGGGCGCTTTGGGCTTGCTCGACGACGCGGCGGCCTTCTTCTTGGGCTTGACGTCGTCGTCCTCGTCGTCGTCGAGCTGCATGGCGGCGCCGTCGTCGCTCGAGTCGTCGTCGTCGTAGTCGTCGTCGCGCTTCTTGCCCTTGCCCTTTGCCGCGGTCGACGCCTTGGGCTTGGGCTTTGACGACGACGATGCGGCGGCGGCCTTTTTGACGGGCTTTTTGGCGGGCTTGAGGTCGTCGTCGTCGTCCTCGTCCGAGTCGACGGGGATCGGGGCCTTGACCTTGAGCTTCTTCTTGGCGGGCTTGAGGTTGTCGCTGTCGGACGAGTCGGAGAGGGTGACGACGTCGGCCGAGGGGGCCTTGCGCTTGGTGGCGGGGGTGGGCTTGCGGGCGGGTTTGGGGTCGTCGCTGTCCGAGTCGTGCTTGATGCGCGGGGCCATGGCCGTGGGTTTGGTGAGGGAGGGACGCGCGAGCTGAGGGGAGTGTGGGGAGGAAGGGAGGGAGGAGTGTGGCGACGAGGAGGGCAGGAGCGGGCGCAGGTGGGTCGCAGTCGGGCACGAGTCGAGAGTGACGCGTCGCTGCTTTGCCCTCGAGTGCTGTGGGCGGAGATGGAGAGGGCAAGCGATGAGGCGGAGGAGCTCGCCTCAGCGCTGAGGTCAAGCTCCCTCCTCGCCACTGCGTGGGACTCGACAGTGCGCTGCACCGTACTCGCACCCATGCCTGCACCCATAGCCCGCTCGGCCGCACCCTCCCCCCTGTCGTCGGCCGCCCCCTCGCCCAAACCTCCGCCCTCGCTCGTCTCGCGCGTCCTCAAGTCCCACCTCGCGCCCCAGCAGCAGCACCAGCAGCAGCCAGCCTCGCCTGCACCGCCCACGGCGACACCGACCCGCAGCAGCTACACTCGCCCTCTCGCCGAGCAAGACTCGACTCCGCGCGCCCAGTTTGAGCAGCAGCAGGACTTTATCGGGTTCGACGCCTCGCCCCCACCGCGAGACTCGCCCAGGTCCCACTCGAAGCGTTCCCGCGACGACTACGACCACGCCGACGACGACGACGAGGGCTCGCGCCGCCTTCAGTCGCGCGAGCGCAACCGCTCGACCCCGTGGTGCGACCGCCCGGGCGTCGACTGGGATCGCGCCCACTCGGCCATCGACCAGCTCAACCGCGAGGCGCACGCCTTTGTCGACTACGTGTCGCCCTCGCCCCAGGAGCACGAGTTGCGCCTGTGGACCATCGAGTTGATCCGCCGCACCATCCACCACTCGTACCCGGACGCGTCCATCGAGTGCTTCGGCTCGGTCGGCACCAGCCTGTACCTCCCCGGCGGCGACATCGACCTCGTCCTCCTGTCGCCCTCGCTCCCGTTCCCGCCCCTCAAACCCTCGGCCTCGCTCCTGCACCGCCTCGCGTCCCTCCTCCTCACGTCCGGCATCGCCCAGCCCAATTCGCTCGTCGTCATCGCAAAGGCCCGCGTCCCCATCGTCAAGTTTGTCACCCGCCACGGCGCCTTCCCCGTCGACCTGAGCGTGAACCAGCGCGGCGGCGTCGACGCCGCCGTCAAGGTCCGCAGCATGCTCGAGGAGTACGCCTACCGCGAGGAGGGCTACGTCGAGCCGGGCCTCGGCGTCAAGGGCGCCGCAGCGGCGGCGGCGGCGGGC